GTGCATCTGGCTATTCCCTGTGCCTGGAGGTTGTCTGTAGATAAGAGCCATCCCACCGGCCATAGCCAGACCCACCTTCAAAGGTAACAAACTCTGTTTTGACATCTCTTGCTGATACTGATCAGAGATAGCTACCCCTGGGGAGGTCTCAGGGAGCTTCAGGGTCAACCAGCACTAGGTCAAGACGATGACTCACCTCATTGCTTGTCTATTGTGTTATTCGTATATGATATCACCCATCGACTTTGTAATATGTTAGCTGTGTGATGTGCTTGTCTTATGAAAGATCTGTAAGCCCCACTGTATAAAATACATTCTCTCTCTCAGGCCTGACGTGGGACAAGGACCCCTGTGCTCCACTGTCTGTCTGGCTGTCTTATTTTCCACAATCGCAAAGTTGCTCCTGAGGACCTGTTTGAGTGTTGGGGTCCCCTCACCCTGACAACAGTTTTGAGATAAGTTAAAATCAGCTCAACAGCAGGAAGGGTGAGTTTGGGGTTCGTAGGAACTGCATGTGCCCGGACAAATCAATGGTGTCGCATGCCTATTAACTAAGGCAACCGAGACGATGACTGTATCTTTGGCCATAAACAGATGCAAAGAAAATGACTATTGGCCACATGATCCACGGGCTTTCCTTTCTCTAGCAGTGAGTAGACAGATTCATGTGAACATATTTTTCACAGATAGTCACTTGCATGTAAGATGGAAATGGGCTGTAATAAAATTCACAACAAGGGGGAAAAGGAACTGTTATAGACCTGTGTCCACTGCTGCTGTCTCTGGTAGCTCCGGCAGTATCTGAGGCAGACGAGCCAAAGAAACTCCTTTTTTTAGTTGCTGAATGACCTGCCTCTCTCCCCCTCCCATCTCGGGAAGCCCACTAGTGATAGATTTTAGAATGGACTCTCATGTACCCAGGTTCTGGACACTGCAATTAGTTGAGACTATTCTTCAATAGATCCTTTGTTTTAATATTGTTCCTTTTGATGTTGTCATCTGAATGGTGTAGTTAATCTTGTTATGGTAACCAGGATGGTATAGTCTATTTTGGTATTGTTTCTTTCTTTTTTAATTAAATACTTTTATTGGGGGCTCTTACATCTCTTATCACAATCCATACATTCATCCATTCTGTCAAGCACATTTGTACATATGCTGCCATCGTCATTTTCAAAGCATTTTCTTTCTACTTGAGCTCTTGGTATCAGCTCCTCACTTTTCCCCTTCCTCCTCCGCCTGCCTGTCCACCCTCCCTCATGAACCCTTGATAAGTTATAGATTATTATTTTCATATATTAAATCGTCTTCTGTCGCCCTTCACCCACTTTTCTGTTGTTCATCCCCTGGGAGGGGTGATATGTTGATCCAGTTTTGTTTCTTTTGTGATAAGGACTGTACCTTGGAGGGCACGCTTGCTCTTCTGGAAGTTACCGGAATGATATACTCATGCTGTCCCCTGTAACGCTCCCTGAGCCGAAAGAATAGTAACATTGATTTTGCTCTCTGCTTCTGTCCACGCTTGCTTAAGTCTTAGACAAAGGATAAAGGAGTTTTTCGTCTTTAAAGATGGACTGAAATGTGGACTCGGGACTGCAATCAAAGAATTGCTTTTAGATTCTAGCAGTCCAGTTATGACCGAATAAAGATTCCTCTAATTTATGAAGCTATCAGAGTGGCTGTCCCTTATTGGAACCCACAACAGTATCCACACACTCCCCCTGTGCTGGTCTCCGGTTCTTGCTCTGACTCACCCCAGTCTCACAGGCCGGGACCACACTTGGCTTACCCGAGCCCCAGCCCCTGTGGTGGTGCCCTGCCTAGGTTGTGAGGGGACCTGAGTCGTGTGGCTCATAGGGACCCTGTGTGAGGGTGACATGGCTCAGAGGGATTTCTTGGACATGATCTTCCCCAAAGCAGACCAGCTCTGGCTTCCAGGGAGCCGGGCTGCTCAGGGGTTTCCAACCACAGCCCATTCAGGAGGCAGTGGAGCGCTTAACCGTTTGCACCACCAGGAGGTCCAAAGCCAAACCAAACTCCGTGCTATTGAGTCAGCTCCTGGCTGCCCTAGAGGACAGGGAGAACTCCCCCTGTGGGTTTCCCGGACTGTGACTCTCATGGGCGTAGAACACCTTGTCTTTCTGCTGGGAAGCAACTGGTGGTTTTGAACTGCTGGCCTTTTGTGTAGCAGCCCTACTGGTAACCACTATGCCACCAGGCTCCTCCCAGAGGCCCAGGAACTAGGTGAACAGCGGCTGCTTTCATTGGCTGGGATCAGCCTGTGTCTCAATACCAGGACTCCTGTAGAGGTGGCTTACAGGGGACCACCCCCCTGGGTCCTCCATGCTGCCTCAGAGAGAAGACCACCCCACCCCGCCCTGCGTGGCCCCGCCACACCCTCCGGGTGCTTCACCTGTGGAGCCAGGCTCTCTGCCGCGGGGTCTGCAGCGCAACCACTCTGGGCGGAGCTGCAGCATGAGCTTGCCAGGCCTGGAGGTGCTGTCCTGCCTCCGGAGTCCAGGCTGGGACCTGGGCAGCTTCCCCCTGGGCTGCCCTCTCCTGCGTGGCCAGCCCCTTCTGATGGCACCACAGGAGGAAGACTGCAAAGGGGCAGGGGCGAGGGAGGGGTGTCAGGAGGGGCCACTGACACCTGGGACACCAAGCTGTGGGCTCCCTGTCTCTGGGCCCCAGTCTCCCCACAAGTGAGTGAGTCCTCGTCCTCAGATTGATCAGAGCGTCACTTCTCTGTGCCTCTGTTCTCCATCCCTAAAATGGGAAGGTGACCCCAAGGTCACTGGGGAGGTGCCCTAACCCAGCCGCACTACCTGGGGCCGGGCTCCACCTGCCAACCCCCGGCCCCCCCACTTTCCCATCATCTCACCAGCCAGTTGTTGCAGGGCCTGCAGGAGCTGGACGCCCCCGTCTCTGCCATCCCGGCTCAGCCCCATGTGCTGACCTCCCTCCTCCGTCCTCAGGCTCCCTGGACTGAGAGTCAAGCTGTCAGGTCCAGGGAGGTGCACGGTCCCTGCCTGCCCACTACAGCCCTAGGCCAGGGCAGGCCCCCCGTGGGAGCTGGTGCCTCATGGGAGCCGGTCCCCCTGCAGGACGAGGTCTCTGCCCCCACCCTGTGGGAGCAGGGCCCCTGTGGGGACAGTGTCACCGTGCCCCTGCTCCCTCCAGACGCTTGGTTTGACGGGACCATAAAAGCCACCAAGGGGAGTGCCTTTACTTTATCTGGCCACGGGGGTTAGCATTTTTGACAAGTGTGCAGTTAAACAAACCCAACCTATGGCCATCCATCAGACAGACAGACTCAGAGCGACCGGCCTCCAAGGCAGAGTAGAACAGCCCTCCGAGGGCGTCCAAGGCTGGACGTCTCTATGGGGATGGACGGCCCTGCCTCTCTCTCCCCCTCTAGGGGGCTCCAAACAGTGGATCAGCAGTGCAGCGCTTAACCTCTGTGCCACCAGGGCTCCCGTGTAGTCGTGTGAAATAACTATGTTCACATTCATTTCAATCAAAGGCAGCAGTCATAGTCATACGCCGCTGGCGTGGGAGACTGCAGGCCAGAGGAAGAAAATAGCAATGACCTGACAAACCCCCTCGTTCACCCACTTGAACGCGTCTTCCTGTCTACGTGTGGGCACTTGCTTCGTGACGGCCCATTTGACTTGGCCTTCAACACCGTGCCAATGCCAGAAAGAGGGGTGGGTGCTCGGGTGGGGTGGTAAAAGTTCCAAGTTCATGGATATGCACTAACTCCCAAATGCCACGCCCCACCCAAATCAGGTGCCGGCTGCTGTGACAATGGGCCGGAGAAACAGCAAAGATTGAAATAGAAAGGTCAAAACATAGAAAAATAAATGCAGCTGAGAAGGGACGGAAAAAAAAAAGTCCTCATAAACATCATATTGAATGGTGTCCAAAAGATGCATCATGAGGTGAACGTTTCTAAGTTCATAAAATGCTGAAACCCCCACAATGGGCACCCCTTCCTTCCACCCACACCCACCCCCACCAAAATCTGCTCACTGCATCCTGGTTCTCGTGGGGGAGGGCGATGAGCACTGAGGTAGGAATGAGGGAGGGAAGACCACCAGCACCGCCCTGGGCACCCAGGCTTGCCCCAGCCCACCTGCTGCTCGGGACCGTGTCCCCTGCTGCCTTCCTCCCCGAGGAGGGGCCTTGGCTCCAGCCTTCCTCAGAGACGGTGGACCCTGGCCCAGCTGGGATGTGGGGCCCGCCCTGCTTCTCCCGGGAAGCCTGTCCTCTCCACTGTCAGGAGAGAGAGGGGACAGAGAGGCGAGGCCCCACAGTGGGCAAAAGGAGGGGCAAGGGCAGGACTCCAGGACCTGGAGCCTCAAGCACTAGACCACCCTGCCCCCAGGGGGATGGTTGAGTGAATGAGTGATAGTTGACTGAATGGCACCAGAGAGAGAGAGGGGGGCAGCCTAGGGCTGTGTCCTCCCCCAGCACCCCCTTCCCAAGAAGTGTCCTCCGGTCCCGGCTGGCAAAACATTTCATGAGGGTGCCTGCCCTGTTTTTCAGTTTCATAGCAACCCAGTGGGTACCCCCATCACTATCCTGGTCTCAAGATAAGGAGGCCTAGGCTCAGTTTCCATAACCGGTCCAAAATCACATAGGTAGGGAGTGAACTCGGAGCAGGGCTGGTTCAGGGTCCTGGGCTCCTGGTCACCAATCACAACATGGCAGAGAGTGTCCTCTCAGCAGATGGAGCCTCCTCCCCAGACACACCAGCCCTGCATCGCCTCCCCCTGCCCCAACCAGGGGCCCTGACCTCTTGGAAGCTCCGGGCCAGCAGGACCTTTGAGTGCCGCCCCCAGGCGGCCTCCAGCTGCGCCTCCCGGACGTGCCAGGCCCAGCGCAGCGCCCGCAGGCCCTTTCTCAACAGCTGTCGTCGGCACAAAGCCTCCACGGCCGCCACTGCCCGTCGCCTCTGGGCCATGTGCCACCAGGCTCTGAAACATCTGGACAGCAGCCGCCGCCTGGGGGCAACAGCGGCCGGTCAGCAAGGACTCGATGCAGGCCAGGGCCTTCCTCTTACTCATGGCCACCTTGGCATGTCCAGGTGAGAAAGCCTGGGATGCGGCCGGGCAGCCTGACAAGCTGCAGCGGCCCCATGTCCCTGTCCTTGGCGCCCCAGCTGCTCCCCTCATCCCAGCAGGGACAGCATGGAAGAAAGGGGCAGTGCCATCCTGCCCGGCTCAGGCCTGGGCACAGTACCCCCGCCCACTCCCACTGGTAGCCCACCAGCTCACCAGGCTGTCTTGACCTGCAGAGTCTCAGCGTTTGGGGCCTTGTTCTGAGATTGCAAGAGGAGTCACACCGTTCATGGGTCGGAGAGATACCAGGACCCCCCCCCGCCCCCCACCAAGGCCTCCCTTCCTGGGTGAGGGAATGGGTCAGGGGAGAGACAATAACTCAGAGAATCCCTGGGAGGCGGGGTCCAGTCTGGGAGCCCTGAACCCTGGCTTTACCTGTGGGGTGATGTCCGGCTGACAGGAGGAAGCTGTCCTCGGCTCCTTCCTGCGGGCCCCTCCTTTCCGCCCAGGCACCACGATGCCCCAGGCTGCCCTGGAGTCGGTGGGAGAACAGAGCCCGGCCCCTCTTGGGAGACTAGCGAACCCCCTCTTCTCTCCACCATCTGCAAGCCCCACCGAGCAGTCCTCTCCCTGGCTTAGGGGGTGGATAGGAACAACACCTTGCTCAGTCACCCCAGAATCAGTCTTCGGTGATGCTGGCTGGCTGCTGGCCTGGGCTCCCAGTGTCTTTTCCCGATTGTCCCGGCAGGCAGGAGCAGGCAGGCTGGGCTGGCGGCGGGTAGGGACTGCTAGGAGTTCCTGGGATGCCCAGTGCCTGAGTCGGGCTGCCTCGTGCTCCAGGCGTCCCACAGAGGCCACCAAATGGTGAACCTCAGCATGGCACCGGGTCTGAGCCTGGACCTGGGTAGAGACCACCAGGTCCTCCAGGGCCAGGGGCTCATCCACGGGCCCTGAGGTCCATTGGCCCAGGGCTCGCCAGGGGCTGGGACTTGGCCACGGGTACCCAGCTCCAGGGATGAAACCTACAGGGGGCTTGAAGGCTGGGTGTAGGGTGTGGGGGGGCAGTGGCCAAGACTGCCTTTGGCCAGAGGGTAGGCAGGTCAGCTGCCTGCTGTGGCAAAAGGGGCTTCCCCAGGGCAGAGTGTGGGGGTCAAAGCTGATAGGGTGGCCACTCCTGGCCAAGCAGGCCTCTCCTGGGTCCAGGTTGCTTTGCTGGGCCCTCTGGGGAGGCATGCTGGCCCGGGGCTGCAGGTTGCTCTGCTGAAGGTAGCTAGAGCCGGCCCTCTTCCAGCGGGTCTGGTCCCCGAGGGCGATGCCCCGGCCAGGGCTGGGGCCGGCCAGGTTGGTCTGGACGAGGCGGGGTTCCACGTGCCACATTGCCCCTGGAGAGGGT